TAAAGAACATAATGAAAAACTTGGTTTTTCTTATCATAAATGATCATGTTTTATGTTCTGTGCACACACTTTTTATATATATCTGATCAATTTCATCAATAACTTATGTTGCACTAAATTAGAAGTACTTCTAATTAACATGGATTTAAAAGAAGGTTTACGATTTTTTTTTGTCAGTTTTAATTTCTTACAATACTGTCAAGGACCACAGAAACATCGTTTTACATTTTGCATCTGTCCCACAAAGATAGGATTATACAAAAAATATTAATAACCATCAACACCACTTTTGATTAATTAAGAGATATTACAAATGTGCTTTGATTTAAACTTTGCATTTATTCAAACTTTCTTAACAGTAGATTTTTTTGTTACTTTATAAATGTATTTTTAATTTTGTTTATTGTGTAATGATTTTTACTAAGTTCATATAAATTACTGCAGACAAGCTATTGGTAAGTTTCATGACAGTAATAACATGAACTAACCTTTTCATAATTTCTGATAAACACGTGTTTAACAAACCATACACCACTGTATGTTAGCTAGTTGTTCATGATTTAATCTGAAGATAGCATATCCAACCTTAGAAAGCTGTATGATTGCTCTTGGTTATTTGTTTGTATATTATAAAAATATTAATAAATTATTTCATAATCAGCCACGAAAAGTAATAACTATACGAGTTATAAATACAACTGTATATACCACAGAATAAAAAATTAATTTCATACTGCTCTTCTGCTTTCAGTAAGCTAAGATGCTATTAATTTGTTTTTGGTGAGAGAGAAAAATTAGCAATGGAAAAACCTTTTTCAAGTTTTTGTAGTATCCAATAGCTTTTTTGAAGTTATTAAAAGAAAATTACAGAGAATTTAACCTAAAAAATAAAAATATCAAAATTTGTGTTTGTGGTAATCAAAATTTAGTGTTAAAATGAAATAATAAAAAGTGATATTTTCACAAAGGATTATTAACTTTTTATGAATCAAAATTTACCAAAATAAACTAACGTTTACTGTACGGTCAGCATTACCTTTAGAAGAGTCTTAAGTTTTTATTTAAAAAAATTCCATCTGCATCTTTTAAGACCTCCAGGTAGAAAAAAACATATGCAAATATACTATTATGTCAAACTATACAAGTACATTTTAAAATTCGTACATTACATATTAAACTAATTATTCATCAAAAGATACAATAGTTAGTAGAATTAAGAACAAAAAACTTTTAAGACTCTTGTCACATAAATAAAGATAAAACACAGAAAAACTACATACAAATAGTTTATTTGGTATTATAACTCAGATTCAAATTTCTAAGTAATACATGATGTCTTAGATGCACTTGTTTTGGTACTTTTCATGTTTACTTGATCTGAACATTACACAAAGATGGTGCTGCGACAGTGCCTTTTCCTTCAACTTGCCAAGGAATACCTTTATAAGTAGCTATTTTCTCATTGTTTGTTTTCAGATCAGGGGCCACTTGCTCAAAAATTTTCTTCTTTGGATTAAGCTGGGAATCCGGTTGTCCAGAAAAGCCCTCGCAGAATACACGATCACCAGGTTTGCATCCAGGTGGAGGATCTAAAATTTCAACTTTCTCGGGGGTGCTAGCACACATGACCATGGCCTCTGATGTTACACCACGCATCTTGGCTGGCTTCAGGTTACACATTAAAACTGCCATTCGGTCTTGCATTTCTTCTATTGGAATAAATTTGACTAATCCAGAAACAACTGTCCGTGGTTTTCCGTCTCCTATATCTACTTTTTCCACATACAGACCATCTGCATCAGGATGTCTTTCTGCTGAAATAATGTGTCCAACACGAAGATCTAAACGACTAACGTCAATAGGTTTTATATCCTCTTGACTTCCCTGTTGTTCAACCTTCTTGGTTTTTACCTTGGGCTCTTTAGTTTTATCTTTCTTTACTTCTTTTAATTTTTCTGGTTCTTCCTTAACCTCAACCTTTTTATCTGGTTGCAACTGCACAGATTTTTCACCTGCCATTGCAACATCATGTTTAACCTGCTTTGATGATGATACTATTACTGATGATGGAACGTGAAACTGCTTCACGCCGTTTTTAATTTCAGCTTGAATAAGTTTTTCTTTCCACATTTCAACCTCTCTCTTCAACTGTTCATTCTCGAGTTTCAGACGAGAAGTTTCTTTTTCAGCATATTCACTGCCTAGGGTTTGCCTTATCTCCCGTATCTGTGTTCTCAAAAACGTAATAAACTCTTCTGCTTGGGTCGCTCGCATGGCAAGGCGTTGAACTATACCATCGGTTATCATTTTTACAAGTTTTATTACGAGAAGGTTGTCTGTTTATATTAATAAGGAATATATAATTAATCGTTAAATACCTAAACATACGAAAATTCTATAACAACAATTTGTATTGTAATCAAACCTCTTCTCTAACACGGTTAACACTACCTAACGTCCACTCCACGAATACGACTCGAGGTGAAGGGGTAGCAACGCTCTCTAGCGAACATCTTAGACTCAACCTATATTATCAATTAAAAGGTTAAAATAATCAAAATAATAGATAAAATGCGATATTTATACTTTTAATAACACAATTTATTTTTCTATATAGTAGCCCTTTATTTTATTTAGTAAAAGAGATAGATATTATACATTTTAAAATACAGAAACAGCTCACTTATAATTTCCAAACTGTCGTTGCAAAATTTAAATGCCACAAGAGAGAACGACGATTGTACACCTACCCGTACATGTTTTGTGGTTTTAGTTGTCTCCAGCTTTTTCGGCAGAGGTCTACAGCTTGTTTTATTGGACTCTTCCTGTATCGGAATAATTTACTGTTTCTTCCTCGCACATTCCAGAGGAAACAGCAATCAGAAAAAATGTGGCGACGCTTTCTGTTATGTATCAGTGCAATAAATGTGAAGGGAAATCTCCTGTATATTAATTATTATTATTGACAAAATTATGAAAAATTAAATGCAATAATAAAGCTTAACAAAATACAGTTCAACTATTAGAAATTAACTATTTATTTGGAAGATGCTATTTATGTTTGTTTGTTTAAAGTTAGGCACAAATTTAGAAAATGGGCTTTTCTGTGCTCTGCCCACCACAGGAATCGAAACCCGGTTTCTAGCGTCGAAAGTCCGCAATCATTCCACTGTGCCACTGGTGGGCAAATACTGTTTATGTATTTCTATGATCGGTCAAATAGGAAGAACTGAGAATGGTTGAAATGGTATATTAGAATGGGCAACACTTATCATCTATAGAGAACTAAATAACTCAAAACTCAGTAAAATTATCTTTCTTCATAATCCTCGCTGTCCCGTTGGGTTACTACTTCTTGCTTTTTGTTTTTATCTCTTTGGAAGCAAAAATATTATTCTGGCAAGGTTTTAAGCGTGGTGTTGTTTCTAGTCAAGAATCAATGGGATAACACGATTTGATCCAGAATCCATTTAATGGCAGCATAACTTCTCATCTGTCTGTTTGTAATTAAGCAAAAAGCTACACAATGGGCTACCTGTTCCCTGCCCACCACGGGTATTGAAACCAGGTTCTAGCGTTGTAATTCTCATTTGTCAGTAGCAGGTGTGGTATCTAGAGGATTTCCAAAAAAGAAGAAAAGTCCGGGTCCGCAAGAATAGGAGGTCTTGGATTTCGTATGCAGGTGTGTCTTTCGAGAGGTTGGGACACAAAATTAATACAAAGAACCAATATTTTACTCAGATTTCTAAAATTTTTGTGAGACACTCTTTTGAAAAAACAAAACAAAAACTTTCATTTCGTGTGATAATTACATTTATTATTGTTGATCATAAAGTTCCGTTCTATACACCCAGCCAGCTTGATTCACGTCAATTAATAGAATTGTTTGAAGTGTTCCGAGTTGTTTTTGTTTTCAAGTAAAGTATTTGTGTCAATTTTTTCTGAAATCTTGAAAAGCATATCTGTTAGATGACATATATATTTTATAAATGTAGTTTCAAATTTAACTGAAGTGGGTTTGAATGAAAATTGTAGCCTTGGTCTGTTGTCACTCTTTTACACTGGTATGTAAATTAAGATATGTACGCGTGTTTGTATAATAGCTCGATAACTGGAAACTGTGAATATAACTTTTCCTAATGTAGTAAGAACACTATATAATTACGAAGTCAGTGTCTCAGAATGTCTTTGGAATTTTGTTCTAAATAGAGCCTACTATTTACATACATTTGAAGTACTATAAAAGTCCTAATACGTCTACAATTAAAAGTTCTTCAAAATCTAAAGTTTATATTTTGTTCCATAAATTAAAATACAAGTGATACATGCTACTGAAATATTTATCCCTCATTTATTATTTCTATAACAACTTTAAAATACTCAAACTTATTATGCTACATATATCACACTCTTGTTCCGCTATCATGGATACGATTAGTACCACTAATAGTTGAATGTGACTAATCATAATTATATTTAGTATTTTGATCAAGTTAGTACTTTAAAACCTAGTTATGAAAAAATAAAAAGGAAGGCTTAATCTTATCAC